TAAATTTTATTTCTACGCCTACTGTAACGTTGTTTTTATTTGCTCTGACCGTAAAAAATGTCTGGAAGTTCATCAAATGGTACTGTATACATTATTTGACATAACAATAAGGCTAAATGATATAAACGTATTTTAATAATTAAAAAAAGGTTTTTTCGTATGTGTTCATGTCAAGTTTTGTTTTTCTCAGATTGTTTCATGTAAAATTTTAACGAAAATTATAAACATTGTTCAAGGTGGATTAATATGAATGTTTAAATATGGAATCTCAAGTATTATACTTGAGGGTTCATTTTTCAACATTTAAAATGTGTCCACTCTATATACACATAACAACATATCCATAATTTTAACCAATTTCAAAAATCAAAAATCTTTTGGATACTTTGTTTTTATAGTTGCTTTAAAGGCCTCTGTATTGTATATTATCCGATATTGTTAGATAATAAATTATCTTGGCCTTATATTATACAGGGTGTAAATTATTTATCAACTTTTTCAAAATTGTGTGCATTAAAAATATCAAATTTGGTGTACGTATTGTAATAGTGAAATTATGCATTTGTGTAAATTGGCATTCAGATGAATATTGTTGAGTTTGGTTCACTCTGTATACGGGGTGGTCGAATTTTAATCCGGCAACATATTCTGCATATAAAACTAAGTAAAAAAAAAGTTCGTTTAAAATCATGTCTTAAAATTTTATTTGTTTTAGAGAATAAAATTAAAAAATGCATTTTTTATTTACACCCTGTATAATGAAAACTATTAATGATGTTTTTATTATTTATTGTTATTTGTATAATGATCCAGGGCCCTTTTATATATAACAATTTTGTACTGTATTATATTTTGTATAAATTTAATTTTTTTAGGACAAACCCTTGTACACATTTCTATCATTTGAAGCAAATGATGTGTTCTGTTAAGGCTAGATTATATATTGTATAATTTTAAACTTGATCAATGTAAGAGCTACGTAAAACAACAATTTTGAAGATATTTCTTCGTATTATCTTGTACCGAAAGAGATTTGTTTATTACTAAGGACAAGAAAAATATTATTGCCATTGTTATGAAAATTATAGATTATGTTTTCTTTTCTTTTTAATTGTTAATATTATTGTGATCGAAATCAGAAAGAGCTTGTACAATATTGAAACAGTCCCTAGATATAATAGGATGCTTATAAGGAAGAAGAAAAAATAAAAATATGTTCTATGATGTAACTTTTACCACACTGTATTCGTAAAAATAAATTAATTTATATTCATTAAAAAGAAATGTCTTCCAAATAAATAAGACATTAAAGCAACAAAACAGCATTTTTATTTATAACATTTTCCATGTACCATACCTATAGTCCTGCTCACGTGATTCAATGAAGATCGCTATCGTTTTTAATGTAAAGTTATAAATATGATGAAGATGTGTATTACTGGCTGCCAAAGCCAATAAATTAATCAAAATATTTAAATATAAATTCAATAAATATTATTAATCTAGTTACCTTTAATATTAGTGTATTAATTTAATGACATACACACTCTTTCATAGTCTAGAACCATACGATATTTTATAAGATTTAATTTCTTTTACCTCAAAACAGTCACATCTAGCACCAAAAATGATCATTTTTAAAAATATTTTTGTCATCTGAATTCAATCGGAAATCGTTGGCCAACGAGCTCGAACAGTTAGACTCATTTACAAAATCGTTAATTACTCAGAAACTAATTAAGATATCGGGGCGCGCTAAGTCGCAATCAATAGGGAATTCAACCATCTATCTGTACACAAAATTACAACCCCCTACGAAACACTTTATTTTTTGGAGCAAAAATGAGCAAAGGGGTTAACCTTAGAAAATTTTTGGCCCAAAAAATAAAGGGTGCCGTAGGGGGTTGCAATTTTGTCTACAGATAGAGGGTTGAATTCTCTATCGATTGGCGCTAAGCGCGCCCCGATAGCTCTTTTAATTACGGAGTTATTAGCGTTTTAATTTCGAAAACGAGGTCAAAGTGTTAGAGTCAACAAAATCCAGCGTTTCTCTGTAGTGTTAAAAATTTATTCGAGGTGATGAAAAATTTCACACGGAGCAAGCAAATCTGGCCTATTTTTGTCATCAAAAATTTCATTTTAAACAGAAACGAGACGATATTTTTCAGACTCATATTTCTTAACGCATAGATATATTTTATTGCGATTATATTTTTAGTATGCCATGATATATTTTAGGTTGCTATTTTATTTTTATTATATTCAATAAAAGCTCTAAGAGTTTATTTCATTCTTTTAATTGTTATAGTAAAGTAATTTTGCTATAAGTAAAACACATGTTTAATATATTAAAATATTTATTAAAGAATATTCAAATAGGACATTCATGTTGAATGCTTATACATTAAAAATGTTACCATCAAGTGATAGGGTAAATAATTATTGCTATCCATAAGGTCTAATAATATATTCTAATGCTTTTATTTATATTCTATTCTAATTATACGCAATAAGTTATAAAGCTATATTATGAATTTCTTTACACTACTAGTAACGTACATACCGTATGATAAAAAAAAACGGCGTCCAGTTGGCTTGGAAATGACGATCGATGACAGTCCCCATATAATTTTACATATAAAATAACAGCGATCTTCATTTCATAGCCATCGCTGACGCCGTTTTTTTTACGTACGGTATAATTTAAATTATATTTTTTTATTTACCGGTTTATCATACGGTATAATATACTGCCGTGTTAAAGAAAAATGCCTTAAAACAAAGATTAAGGCATTTTTTTTGCTATCATTGATTATATTATATCTTTTTTATTTATTAACACATTACATTTTATTAACAATAGTAATATAAAAAGTATATTAAAATCTAAGGTGTTGGCGGACATGCTAACGTCTATGTGGAAGTAATTAAATCTTCTATAGCTACTCTTCTGGACTATTAGCTACCCTCTGGCTACCCTGTAAGTCTTGATTCTGCAATAAAAGTATTAAAAAATCAAACACTATATAGGCAACTCTATATACTCTATTTCCTAAAAATAGAAATAATGTAATTTTTATGTACTTTTAGTTGCCTATACAACAGTAAACAGCGCGCCAATATACTCCATTTGAAATTAATAATTTATATCTACATATTTTACAGAATACTATAATATTAGGTATTTAACAAACATATTTCATTAAAAAAAAACACCTTTTGGTATATTTTACCTAAACTTATTTAGCTTCCTCTTCAATGATGAATTTCTTCTCAATCCGCTGTTGAATGTTGAATTTAGTTAATCTAATTACATCTTGAAAAGGGTAGTTATAGCAGTCTTTGTTCCAAAGCAGTACAATATCCCATACCAATTTTATTATTTATTTTTTTATTAATTATGTAGGCATCAATAGGAATGAGATCAAAAACTTGGGAGTCTTAGAAGAATAGCAGTAAAATAAACAATAAAACAAATTTTAAGAAAAGATTTAGAAATGCAACAAACATAGAAGAAAAATAAATTATATTTAAGAAATATTATATTTAGTTTTACTCTGTCTGGTGTGAGGAATTGAAAATTTATGAAAATGTTTCCAAACTTACAACTCTATATAGACAATAGAAATAAAATGCCTTAGAGAAGTCTTGACACAGAACGTCACAGAGAGAGATAAATACAGAGGTATGTGGAATTGAAAAAAAAAAATGCATGAAGATGAGTGACAATTTAGAATATAATATTATGATACCAAAAATATATATGTAATTATATACATACAAGCATACTTAGATACGATCAGTGGAAGAGTTTTATCATAGAATTTATAAATGATGGAATTCCCATAATGAAGAAAATATGGTAGACAAATAGTGAAATTGAGATATGATGAACTGAAATAATGACATAAAAACAAATTAAAAATAAATATATACAGGCAATAGAAATGTTGAAATATTATGTCTTAGAACTCTTAGAAGGATTACACAAAAAATAGACAAGTATATAAATAATAAGACAATCAATAGGACAGTGATGAATGATAATATTCCAATAATAAGGAAAACATGGCAGATAAAGCTAGTGAGAGGTAGGCCAAAAGCAAGATGGGCCAAAATGTTCTAGATGATATTAAAAAATAAAGAGGTATGTGGTCAATAAGAACTGAAAAAATGAGAAAAAGTTATGCTTAGCCTCTTCTCAGAAATATCTAGTCAAAATTTGACATCAAGCACATGAACAAAAAATCCTCCAAAGCATATAGGTTCGCCCCCCTTCATCAGATTTAACCCTTGGCCGACGATTAAGCCTCGCCAGTCAGTTCCCATCCCAGCTAAGCAGCCTCGTCTCGGGTCGCCCTCGTCACCCATCGAGCGGACATCCACCGGGACCCCCTACAGGCGGACCCCCTCATCATCTTCAATGTGTCCGATATCCCGCCCCTCTACTGTCGAGACGTCACGGGATACGTGCACGAAGAAGTCTCGTAGCTTGGGTGCCAGGTCGTATCCGGCCGAAGCCTCTAGCGTTAGAACACCTAGCTCGTAAACCAGAGGGTGGTGACTCCCTTGGGTACCTATGCATGCTACATAGGTCATCGATGCCAGAACATCAGGGTTAGGGGGTGACCCGGGTCTCCTCCTCATAGGGGAGGCTAGCTATGATGCTCTGGAGTCGATGTTACTTAGCAAAATTCATTAGCAAAATACTAGAAAAGCTAGAAGTGACATCAGCTGTGGACGTCAGTTTTTTTACTAAATGGCGAATGCGCCAGGTATTGATCAGAAACACATCACAGAAATTCATGGCATATGATCCAAAAAAAAATGACATGGAAATAAATCCATTAAAACTGAAATTCTGTGCAAGGAATTAAAAGAGCAAAAAAAGTATTAGAAAAATGACACCATAAGAAAGTAATACAAATAAAAGAAGACTTAGAAATACAATCAATGGAAGAATTGAATATAGAATCGATGAATGATGTTTATCATACCCATAATGAAGAAATATGAGAGTCAAGATATTATAGAAAAATGACAGTTCACCATTGAACAACATAATGTTTTAAGAACATAGTATCATACCAAAAAGAAAAAGAAGTGGCAAAAAGCAGAAAATTGGTCGAAATTAAAAATAGATAGCTTGAATTTGTCTTCAAGATAATAAGGAACCATAAAAAATAAACTCAGAGACCCAATGAAATTTTTTTTCTTGTTTAAATTTAAAAATGATGAAATCCACTGATGAAAAACCAGTAAAATATATGTATTTTACCAATTTTTGATATACTCAAGTCCTGATGCATTGTTGGCAATATTCGTCAAAGGATAAATGTACTGCCCTGGAACTGTATACATCCATCAATTTGTTGTACAACATCTGTAAAAAAAGAAATAAATAGCATTACACTTTATTACAATTTATATCTACATTTTTTACAAAATACAATAATATTAGGTATTTGTTAAATACATTTGATTAAGAAAAAAAAACATTTTAGTATAATTTACCTAAAGTTATTTAGTTAACCTTCAATGATGAATTTCATCCTCATTCCACTGTTGAATGTTGAATGTCTAATATAATTAGTCTGATGGTATCTTGAATAAGATGGTTGATCTATCAATTTGTTGTGTACAAAATCTGTAATAAAAAGAAATACACAATATTACATTTTATGTACTATAATAATCGTGTATTTTCTTTTGATTCATATTAATATTAAATATATCTTAAAAAATAGAGTTAGTATATTAATAAACAATTAATAAATTTATTCAAATTGATTTGAAAATAAACTTACTTTTAATCAGATAATGGAAGACCAACTCGTAAAACAAAATGATGGCCAAACATCAGGATTATACAAGAGGTGACCCAGGTCTCTTCTTTTAGGTGATCTTTATGTGCTCGTGTGTATCATCAAGCATGGAGCATTTCCAAAAAAAGAAAAATATATATTAATTAAACATTACACTTAAACGATGCAAACTTGTTAACAAAAATCAGACGATAGTGCAATAGTACCTATTATATATGTGTTAATATTTTATTTTATCTGAAAGTGTTATATAATTATTTAGAATGGGCCCCCATTTAGGTATACTAACACTGATTTATTCTAAACAACGTAGAAAATACTCGTTTGCCTGTACGAATAAAAACCTAAATCTTTAGGAATAAAAAACATCTTTAACCTCTGGGCAAAAAAATGGTTCAAAATATACCGAATAGCTCTAAATATAGAGCATTATTCTAAGTAACAATACTTTTAATGTACAATAGGGACATCAGGGAAAGTATCTATACTCCAATTAACTCGATTTTGAAAAAGAAAATTATGGAAATAGGAAAAATACATCAGTTTTTGATGATGTAATTGAAATACTTAAAAAAAAACATAGAAAACATGCAAAATAATGGGTACTTACATTTTAAGAAGGTTAAACAAGCCTTAACACAGCCTTAAGGCGCAGAATAAACTCGAATAGTGTAGTGAAAATTCAGTTTTTCTATCAAATTTCACCGGAAAAATTTTAAGAACGACATAACGACGCCAGCTAAAGGTCGATTTATAAATTGAAAACGGTGCGGTTCGACGTTGCGGTTGCGATTATTTCTATTGGCTATTACTAACGTTTCAAGGTCAACGTTCCTGTCGAAGTTAAAAATTGGTTAATTTTTGACGTAAAACGTCAATCGCAACAACAACCGAAAAATGTATAATCAAGAAAACATCCTGCGTATAAACAAACTTTTTACCGACCGTAACGTCGGACGTCGAACCGCAACGTTTTCAGTTTATAAATAGACCTTAACAACGGAAAATGTCGAATATCAACGTTGTCAGCTTGAACACATTTAAAACAGAATAATTTTTTGTTGCATAAATGATGATGTGTATAAAAGAAAATATATTATTTATTGTACTGAAACAAAGTTTTTGATAATTTTTATTAGATTTATCATGATTTTATAACGGTTCAATTCATTTTAGATTTACAAAAATATTGATTTAGAGTAGTTTCAGGATTTCGCTAATAATTTGGCAACCTTGGGTATATTTTAGTACCAAATTTTCTCACTTTTTCCACAATGGCGCCACCTGCATTCTTCTTCTTTTTTGGATTTCAGGCCTTAAAAGAACGGCAACCACAGAGTAGATGTAATTGTCTTCTTCTTTTTATATTAAAGGGCAAACATGGGCAACCACAGATTTAACATATGTTTCTTCTTCTTTATTTTTAAATGGCTTGAACTTATATAGGCCATCTGGTCTGTGTTAAGAAAAAAATATTAAAAGGAGAGAACTTGAACTATAATCTATAGATAATTATTAGACACAGACCAAACTTTCTCCGTATTTGGCGGGAATTTAAGAATTTCCACACATTTTCAAAGTCTTAGTGGAAAATATACGTGAAAACTAATAAAAACAAATAAAATGACATGTGTTTTCCCTTCCAACTTACATTTCTTCTTGTTTTTACCTAAATTTCGGTTTTTACATAATATAACTAACAAAATAGTAAAATGAGTGAAATAAATTAAAAGATCTTTACACAAAAGGCGTTTACAGAGAAGCTTATTTAATCAGCAAACGTACTTTTTAAAAAACTTGCAGAAAACTACATTTTACACGTAAAAATATTTTTTTTACTGGGAAGATTTTTACTCGTCCTCTGCAGCTAGGGTACCTCGGGGTCGCTACACCCGTACTCACAAAATGTGAGCCCTTGAGGGAAACATTTAAGTATTTATAACAAAAATAAGACAAATGTATAAAAAAGATTTAATATAAATATAAAATACATCCTTAAAACTAAAATCGATGCTAAAATACCGTGGTATAAAAACAAAATTGCATTCATCAATAATAAAGAGAAAATAATTACAAAATAAAAAAATATTTACGGTTATTCCCTTATTTTGGTTAAAACAAATATACAGGGTGATTATAGCTTATAAGAGTAGAATATATATATTTACAATAGTTCAGTTATACCGCAAAAACAGCGTTTAAGTGCCCTTTGAAATGATACCCCTACAGGATATTCAAAAAAATTTTGATGTTGAGGATAAGTGCGGTATTGGAGTAGGCCAAACAAAAAATCTCATCAATCGTCATTTCAAAGGCTACCATGAAACCGTTTTTTACCATGTCGTCACTAGAGGCAGTTCATAACATTAATATTGGAATTTTAAGCACCAAAAAATATTAAAAATGTGAGCATAGTTAATATTTTCAAAAATATATTATTTACAATAAAAAATATAAGCCTTATTACACTCACTATAAACATTACAAAAAGCTTTATATACAAAGTGTTCACGCCTATTTTAGTCAATAGCTATATATCTCTGTAAATGCTGGTTTTAGAGAAAACTACAAATTGCGAGTTCTAAAATTTTGCCCAAATCGCTACATACTATTTTCGAAAAATACCAACAAATAAGTTTATTTTTTGTGAATTAGTAAAATATGTTATTTATTCAACTGAGGTATCATCTACAGGGTGGTCCGAAATGTAATCAAAACGGAAACTTTGGCAACATATTCTGCCAGGGTTGGGTAATGACGCGTAGAAAATTAATTTTCTACGTGTATGTAGAAAAGTGCGTAGAAAATGTAGAATATTAAGTAGAAAATGTATAAGATCTAAGAACAGGTACAAAACGTTTAACAGAATTATTCTGTATACTATCCATTTATTAAATAATAAATAACGATTAGATATATCGTTATTGGTTTATTTCTTGTACTAATTTATTAAAGTATTTGAAATAAATATAAACTCGAAAAAGGCTTACAATATACAAAACTAATTTTCTACGTTTGGACATGTAAAAAATATAGAAAATTAGTTGGAGCAGAAAATTAATTTTCTACGTGTAAAAAATACGGTAGGGTATATAAAATTTTCTACCTACCCAACCTTGAATTTTGCAGATAAAACTAAGTAAAAAAAGTTGTGTATGCACTATGGGCGCATATTTGAAGTAAAACTTCTTACTAGCAGCAATTAAACTAAAGAATTTGAAAAACATGTTCGAGAAAATGTAGTTTGAAATGTTGAAAAAGTAACAAATAGTTATTTATGTGTAACAAATAGTTTTTTGCGCGTAACAAATAGTTTTATACGCGTAAAAAATAGTTTTTTACATGTAACACATAGTATTATAAGCGTAAAATAAATGATTTATATTAAAATATTAATATTTTTGATAAACACATTTTTTGAAATACACGTCGCGTCATTACGTATTTCTAAGCCTTTACCTAATTTCTAAGTCTTTAAGTGTCAGAGGGCTTATGTGTCACGGCCGTCTCGTTAGCTTGTGTGTCACGACCTTGAACGTTTGTTTCCAGAGCGCCTAAAGAAGTATCACTTCAAAAATAAAGCATATCAAAAAAATCGTTTTGTGTTACTTTAAAAATTTGACAGATAATACCCTATGATCGAAAAAAAAAAAACAACGGCGTCCAGTTGGCTGGGAAATGACGATCGACGACATTTCCCATATAAAATGACAGCGGTCTTCATTTCATAGCCATCGCTGACGCCGTTTTTTTTATTTCGATCATACAGTACATGAACACAGACAACGTTATCACCCGGTATACCGATAAATATCACTTTTCCCAGTTCACGTCATGTGCAAAATCGTGTGCCAGAACCGCTTCCTCAACAACACGATACCGTTGTACAGTTTGACAGCTGGCCCGACCTTGAAATGCAACAGCTGCACTATATCACGTTGGCTGAGGTGGAGCAACGCCTCCCCATCCACTTCATTGGCCAGGAAGTTCGCTACGCTCGATTCACACCCGGGTATGGAACTGACGAAGTCGACGACGTCATCGGTGGACCATTCCAGAGGGTTATCTTGGGGGGAGACGTAGTTATTAAGGAAATTCGAGTGTCTCTTCCATGATTCTTTTTCGGCGGGGTATATTCTCGATTTTTCGATCATTTTTTTCGCTTTTGCGATCGATTGGTACTGTGTGGACGTGGAGGAACATTTGCTCACGTCTTCTTCGCTTTTTTCGTGTTTTAATTTGGGGGATACTGAAGGGTGTTTTTTCTTGAGTTTCTTTTCGGGGGGTTCTTCGCTGGGGGCGCTTTGTGAATTGGAGGCTTCCAGTTCTTTCAGCCATTTCGGTGGTCTACCTACCCTGGGTTTTCTAAAGCAAAAAAGAAAGAAAAGGATTAAGTTAACGTCTACCTTTCCCCCCCTGTAGATACAAAACAAAGCAGAATCGGAACTATGTGGATATAAAAAATAATACTGAGTTTTATGTGAGGAATCTCCCCACGAGAGTTATATATTTTTTAAAACACCCTGTATAGAAAAACCAATAAAAGTTGGCGTGCATGTCATCAAAATATCTGACGTTTTACGTAGCAATGTCGCCTTTGACTTTCTTGACAAGTGTTAAATAGAATTGTTTTGTAGACAGGGTTGGGTAACGACGCGTAGAAAATGTAGAATAAGTAGAAAATGTATAAAATCCTTGATAAAATCTGAGAACAGGTACAAAATTAATTCTGTATATTTAATGCCTGTATATTGACACAACAGTCACTGTCATACATCTTCCCGTTGTCCATATCAATTTAAAATAATATAGAAGTTAATAGTTAAGCTTTTTTTTGACATACTATATACTATTCATTTGTTAAATACTAAATAACAATTAGAGATATCGTTATTAGATTATTTCTTGTACTAATTATTGTGACTGAAGTATTTGAAATAAATATAATCTCAAAAAAGGCTTAGAATATTCAAAACTAATTTTCTACATCTGGACATGTAAAAAATGTAGAAAATATAAAATTTTCTACCTACCCATAAAATTGTATGAATATAAATTATATACTATTAAAACATACACAGTATGTCTACTTACTGTTTATAATCCTTTGGTTCTCGGGACACAGGAACTTTGGCCTCTGGACTCCTGTCCGGAGTGAGCAACCTGTCAGGAATCACCTTGTCAGTGTCGACGTTAGCCTCGGCATAAGGACAGTACTTCTGACTGGAATGCGTACTGTGTTTCAGTCCCAGTTTGTGTCCCTGTCCTCTACAACCCACCGTGGGACATTCCAGAAAGTCATAGACGTCATCAGGAGCTGAAATAAAATAATAGTTAAAAAAATGAAGAAAAAAAAACGTAAAAAATAAATAACACAACAAAGAAATAAATAAAAATAAACAAGGAAATGAATAAAAGAAATAAAAAACAATAAAAAAGGAATGAAAAAAAAACATAATAATACTTACTCAAAGGTGGTTCCATGGGATGGCCTGTTTTTTGACACCAGCCCACTGGATGAATGTCGGGGCTGTCATCGTCGACCCAATAACTGTATCTGTCAAGCCATCCGTCAAAATGGATCCGGATTTGGTGTTCTTTCACGTCATCTACCGTGGCTACTCTGATTAGGTGTGGGACCTAAGATGGTAAAAGATAATATAGCAACATCTACAATTTATAATGTCTATTTGTGCCATTCTATAATTTATAATGTTTATG